AAAAAAAAAAAGAAGAAGGTAGATGTTTTAACAAGCTCTCTAGATGGATTGTTAACTAGGTAACTGAAGAAGTAAACAGAGAAACCTAAGGTATCATGGAGATAGTAACTTTAGGAACAGCTACCACCTCCAGGGCTGAGGGAACAAAGGGAAAAGGTTGGAGTTATTAAAAAAGAAAAATAGAGGAGGAGATGCCAAACAAAGCTGAAGCTCAGATCTCTGAGGAGGAGGTGCTGCTTGGCATGTGTGCTTGTGTCTCTGAACTCAGAGGAAGGGCCCCAGGGGTTGGGACCCAAACTTGAGGATAGAGGGCACTGGACATCCAGTGCTGGTGTCTGTGAAGAAGGGGCAATGAGACTGGTTTTATAAGTGTTAGGAAAAGTGTAAACTGGATTCTGTTCCTCTAATAGGAAGCAACTGCTACTGCTAGAATAAAGAAGCTTTGCTAGGATGCCACGGATAGCAAAAGGAAGCAAATAGGAAGGAGGTTTCCATCCTTCCTTCCTTAGCCTTGCAATATCTCTCCAGCAGTAGTCTCTATTGAGAGAGCCTAACAGAGAGCCAGCAGGCAAGGGAGAAATATTGTTTGCAGAGTCTCAGCCCCAAAATCACAGAGCAGAGAGGAGAATTTAGAGTTGAGACTTAGTAACTGATTCACCTTGCCTGGTTTGTTTGTTTGTTTATTTATTTATTTAGGCAAGCACGAAAATGAGGTTTATTGAAGAGAGAAAGATAGTATTATAGGGTAAGAGCAAGACATAGGTTTACAGAGCATGATACATACGCCACAGATGACAACCAGACCCATTGTCGCGGCAGGAAGAGCAAAAGGAAGGGAGCAAAAAGGCACCTTGCCTTGCTTGCATGGTTGGGCTCTTCATAAGCATCTTTGCTACAGCCACATCTCTTTCTTGCAGTCCTTAAAGACACCATGCTTCCTTCTGCTACAACGCTGTTGCATATTCTATTCTTTGCCTGTTAGGCGCCATTCCTCAAATCTTCCTCTTATATGCTCTTATAGCATCCCAAACCTATATTGTAGCACTTGTCACAGCTGTGCATCTTTATTTATTTGTATGGTCTTTTTTTTTTTTTTTTTTTGAGACAGAGTCTCGCTTTTGTTGCCCGGGCTAGGGTGAGTGCCGTGGCATCATCCTAGCTCTTAGCAACCTCAAACTCCTGGGCTCAAGCGATCCTCCTGCCTCAGCCTCTCGAGTAGCTGGGACTACAGGCATGCGCCACCATGCCCGGCTAATTTTTTCTATATATTTTTAATTGTCTGATTAATTTCTTTCTATTTTTTTAGTAGAGACGGGGTCTCGCTCTTGCTCAGGCTGGTTTCGAACTCCTGAGCTCAAACAATCCGCCCGCCTCGGCCTCCCAGAGTGCTAGGATTACAGGCGTGAGCCATCGTGCCCAGCCCTAAATTCTATTTTAAGTTATAGTGTATTGAATTTTTTCACTTCTATTTTCAATCCAAAGTCGTGTTTTGGGCAATCGTGTTGTCCATGGAATGGACAGATGGGATATTGAGAGTATCCCTTAATTTTCTTCATTGCCTTAACTATGGGAGTTCAAAACATTTTACTTTTGCACCAAAAATTAAACTCTGGCAAGAACATCAACTGTTATTTCACTATGTAGTTCACACAGGACCTTAAGAAACTGTATCTAGAGTTTTGGGAACAGTAATCCCAAGCAAAGTTAATGTAAGGTTTGTAACCCATGATGTAAAGCTAAAGTAATTGGCTAGGTATGTACCCTTGAAACATCTCCTCTTCTTAAGGAGTAATCATTCACAAATTTAAGTAAAATCCTTTGGGATATGTCACTAGAATGCCCTTGATATTGTGGCCAACAAACAGT